GCTGCTGCTGAGGCTGCTGGGAGGAGAGGGGCTGCTGCTGCTGCTGAAGCTGCTGCTGACGCTGAGCCTGGTACCATGCCGCTGCTCCACTTACCGGGGCCGGCAGTACAGGAGGCGACTGACGAACTCGGGCGTCGCCACCACCAGCAGGCGCAGTGGAGTCACCAGTCGCTGCACGAGACGCCTCTCCAGGCCCTGCACTCCCACCACCGCCAGTCGCAACAGCACCCCCACTACCTCCGCTACCTCCGCTACCTCCGCCTCCACCTCCACCAGAACCACCTTTCTTGCCCCCCCTGCCGCGGGACCGCGACGCAGTCGTAACAGCAGCTGCAGTCGCGTCAGTAGCGGCAGTGGCAAGAGAGGCAGTGAAGGTGGGTAACTGCGGGACTGTGCACCCGTGGAAGAGTGGGGGGGGCACAGCACCAGAGGCAGCGGCTACCGAGCGAAGGCTGCTTTCGACGTCCTTGAGCGCAGACTCAAGGACCTCGACGGTGAGCTCACTAGGGTGCTTCAGCAGGAGCGCGTCACGTACGGAGGCAAGGCGGTCAGGGAGGCTAGTGGCGATGAAATAGATAGTAATCGCCATGGGGGGAGGAAGCAGTGCAAGCTGTGCCTCAGTGCAAGCAGTGCGGTAACTAGCGTCGAGCGAGCGGAGGTGAGCGATCAAGTCAGCAGAGCGCTCAAACGAGGCGAGATCAGGAAACAGGAACGGGAGGAAAAGACAGCCAAGAGGAACAGTAGCGGGAGTAGAGTAGCGGGCCTTAATCGCAGTGAGGTACTCAGCAGCGGTGCGAACCTGAGTGAAGTGGACCTCCTCAGACTCAGGGAGGAGGCTGCTGAGCGCGATGCAGGCCGCAGCGTCACACGACGTCCAAGCCGTCTGATCAGCTTGCTGGGTGGCAAAGAGGGCTCTAGCAGCGTCGTCAGGAGCAGGGCCTAAAGGCGTAGGGTCAGGGGGCGCAGGGAGGGCACCCGTAGCATGCGCCCAGAGAGTCTCGCATGCTTGGACCTGACTCTGCAACAGGCGGCGAGCGCGAAGAAGTTAGACCGAGAAATCGAGCGGGCGACCGTCAGCATCGAAACGAAGGACGCGAGGGGTCGCCATAGTGTGCAAACCGAATTGGCAGGGAAAGCATGGCGCAACGGCAAGGGAGAACGGGCAGGAAGAGCGGGCAAGAGCGGGCGGGTAGGTCAGGTGTGGCGGGCGTCTAGGGTAGGAGCGCGCGGGCTAGGGCAGGAGCGCGCGAGCGGGCTAGGGCAGGGGCGCCGGGCGGGTAGGGCAAAGGCGCCGGGCCAGGGCGACGGGCTGGGGCGCGGGCCTGGGCGACGGGCTAGGGCGCGGGCCAGGGCGACGGGCTAGGGCGCGAGCTGGGGCGACGGGCTGGGGCGCGGGCCTGGGCGACGGGCTAGGGCGCGGGCCTGGGCGACGGGCTAGAGTGCGGGCCTGGGCGACGGGCTAGAGCGCGGGCCAGGGCGACGGGCTGGGGCGCGGGCTGGAAGCACGGGTCGACGGGCAGCGGGGGGAAGCGCGGGTCGACGGGCAGCGGGGGGAAGCGCGGGTCGACGGGCAGCGGGGGGGGGGCAGCAGGACCGGCAGCGGTACGCTAGATCGGGCTACGCTAGATCGGGCTACGCTAGATCGGGAGGAAGAACGAGCGGTAACGAACGAACGGGACTAGATCGGGCCGGCACTAGGCTCGGGCAAGACGGGCGAAACGAGAGCTAGGATCAGGCTCGGGTGGTACGATCGGAGAACGGAGAAACGGGATCCCACAGGATCCTAACCTAACTGATACCATGTCAGAATGAGGAATGGATGATGCATTGATGTTGGTTCGGGTACATATGGCAAACCCATACTTCTGTACCCCCTAAGACAAACCTCACAACATGCTACAACATTTGACAGTGTGTCAGATGTTATAGTCTTAGTGAAGTGTGGCATATGGGGTACAACAGTTAGGGTTAGGTTTATGTACCCCAACCAACCTTAGTCAAACCATCATTCCGTATTTGACACTAACAGGGACGCATAGTGCTTTTCTCATTTGTAACACCCCCCTTCACTCCTGGCCGTAGCAATTCTTGACCCGTTTGTCTACTCAGCTGAGTGTGGAAAAGTGCTGGTACTGCTGACGTGACTGTCGCTTCATGAGGAAGTCGGCTGCCATACTTTCTTGAAAAATATGTACGTGTGGTTTTGTTTTGCTAAGCATCTCAACTCTGAAACATGTATTTCATGTAGTTCTCTTTCATCAGAGCCCCCGTATCTCACGGCGATTCAAATGGTTTGTTGGGCGTAGAGCACGAGAGTCAAGTATTTTCCTGGGTGATAGAACGATCCAGGGTAGTAATATGGTTTACGTAAAACGTATCTTGAGCTAGAAACCTCACTCGAAACCTGACCTATAGTCCATGCTTTTGAGTTTGATGCTTACTTGCTTCCCAGATTCTTGGTCTGAGGTGGCGTCACACCCCCGTAGCTAGCGCTTCGTTTTCCAAGATCGACACAATCACTTATTCTGAAAGTGAAAACGAAATCCCAGTTCCCACAGGTCTCAGCTCGGGCAGTAAGGGCGAAAGAGAAATGTGTAAGGCGTGTCAAACACCACGCCTTGTGAATGCGATCAAGTTCCCTCGTTACCGTTTGCGATTCAAGCAAACCGATTTGTATCCAATTTTAACGCACTAGAAGCGTGTGTAACACACCACACCACTCAACATCCACTTCGTAGTCAAGCAACTCTTCCAAATGAATTATGGTTGGAACGCGTCTCGCCAAAATTGTCGATGGTGATTCGCTGGCTTTTGCGATCGCGATGGTGACTGACCGTGCTGCAACTGCTCTTCAGCTGGTTCACATCCACCACAAACCGCCCATACAAACACCCACACCTTTCTCCCTCCAACACCAATCCCACATTTCGTTCACTCACTTCCAACTTCCTGCATCCTCTTTACTGGATAGTAGTAGTAATCATGGCGCGTCTGCTTACTGCTCTCGCTCTCCTGCTTGCCTTCACCGTCGGTCTCGCATCATTCGCTCCTACTGCTGCTGCTCGATCTGTTCGGCTTCCTGGCAATGGGATGACTGCCGATGGTAAGTCGCAGACCCGTGCGGTGATGACTGCTAATTATTTCCGTGCGATGGCGACGCGCTTTTCGAGAACCTGAGCAACTCCTCCATGCGTGGCTTTAAGAGGCACGAAACGACCATGAGAGGGCGCTCTCGTTGTATCTGCACACTGCTTCCTCACTTGCTCTGCCTCCCTCTCCCAGCCAATTTTTGAGTCAACTCAAAAGTTAGGTGATACCTATCGCGCACGGAAAAGGTAGCGTAATGAAGCAGCTAGAATCACTGGTGTCGCGTCGTACCTGCACACGTTGCTGCTTCCTCACTTGCGCTGCCCCCCTATCCCAGCCTTCCTCACCTCCATTCTCACCTTGCCAAGCGGCAACTGCACCGCTTGCCACTTGCATCGCAAAAATGGAAAGCTCGAAAAGAAAATCGAAAGAAACTTTTACTCAACATTCCCGATATTTTTTTCCCGGCACTTTTGAGTCAAGGTTTTAGATCTGCATGGCGACAGTCACTTACAAAGCAACTTTGCGTCCACTTTCCCGCGACATTCTGTACATATGCGTGCATCAAATTAGCCACTGCACCCGCATCTGGGCAGTTGCTAAACAGTAACGGGCGGCGCCACACAAAAGTTTACCTAACCATACCGTGCCAATCGACTAGAAAGCGACGAGTACGCAACCCCAACTGCCACTCCGTACGCGCACACCCACGTGGCACCCTGTTTCAACCCGCATGGCCACGTCAGCGTACATGCACCAAAACGTACCCGCACCCCAACCGTTGGATGAACACTAGGGTCACGCAATCTTAATGGTTCACGTGTCGCCTGCACATAAATTCGCACATCATGTTACGACTTCGCGAACACTAACTCGCACATGCTCGCGCCAACACCGCGCGCGGTTCTGCACCGTACATCTGATGGACGCACATCCAGTACACTGTTGACAGTTGGAGGCAACCCACTGGAGCGCTAACCGCAAATCACGCCGGTGATACCCACTAGCATGCTACCACGTGGCCTCACTACACTTGCGCATTCCCCGTCCGCACCCTGCACTACATTGCATAGTCACCGTACACCTGTCGCGTCGCCCCCGTATCGTACACTTCGCCAGCTCGGTCGCCAACCAGTAGTAACGCACGCGCGACTACCTGTCTACGCCATCTGCATCGTCCATCTATGTACATCGTATCCACCACCGTGCTGACACGTCACGCATAATTAATCGATCTACCCCGTACACTTGCCGTCCGATCGTGTACTCGCACATACAGTTACCCTAAACCATCTCATCGTGGCTCGCATTCGCGACGTCTTCGCTAATCAATCACAACCGACCATCCGTCGCACTCTAACCGCATATCACAGTGCGTTCCCCCCGTTAACCTCGACGCGGCATTCGCTCCGTGCGGTGACACGCGTACTTGAGCGCGTGCAACCATTCTATGCAATTGGTGGGACATCATATCTTATCAATTGTATCCACTCATATGTCCACGCTTGCGCACCGCGGATGCGTTTACGTCCACACATTACCGTGACACCTGTCACGTTCCGTCAAAGGCGCCGCAAATTGCGGCGCGGTCTGCGCCAACCAAAACACCTGGTTTACGGTCTGCCCTCTGTGTTTCGCAACCGATGGGTATCCTTGTTGTACTGTCAAATGCGTATATACCCCAATGAATACTTCTCCCATTAACACCATGCACACACACAAGTATACAACGTAGCCATGCCTATAAATAACCCCACTAGCTTCGCAGCCCACACATGCAACATCCAGTGCCCACGAAAAAGCCAGCTCAAACCCCTGACACGGAACCGATAATGATGCCTTCCACGACACCAGCCACCTGTCCCACCAACGGTGCGCGCCTCAATGTTGAACGCCCCCACACGCCCGTCGGCCTACTCATCACCAACTGACGCCGAGAGGTCGTCGTCCCCCTCAGGCTCTTCGGACTGAGCTGCGGCGGTGGGCTTCATGTGCTCCAGGCCGCACGCAGAGATGCGCAGTCCATGGCGCCCCCAGATCCACGCCTCTCGCTCCGCGTCATACTCCGGGTTGCGGATCCTGATCGCCCTCTCCACGGCCTCCTTCACCAGGACCTTGAGGCCGTCCACGACGTGTGCGTTGCCGCCGGCCGAGTTGGAAAGCCGGCCTTTCCTCTCCTCCCAGTAGAGGACGCAGTCGGAGACCTGCGCATCCACCACCCAGCGTGTCAACCAATTGGTGCGACGGTACAACGCGAAAACATGGCTCGCATAGAGCGCATAGACTCACCACATGCTCCAACCAGGCCAGGTGGTACACCTTCAGTGTCATCACCAGCCCGGCCTTCTTGGGCCTGAATGCAGCCTTCGCACATGTCGCGAACGCCCGGGAGGCAAACGGCATGCCATCACGGTCGTTCGCCCAGCTCGTGAGCACCAGGGTTTCTGCACACCACATGCCCACTGTCAGTGTCAGCGGCCGCCAACTACGAGGTGGTCAGCATAACCATACGTAGGTAACCTTGTCTGCTGTGGTAGAATGCACTCACCAGGGGGGTCAGCGCCAAGACCAATGCGCTCCCTGATCTTATCGATACTGCGTGCCTTCTCGGGCGCCCATGGGCTGGATGCGTCCCTGTCGTCGCGGAACAATCCGAGCTTGGGAAGTGTAATGTCTCGCACGCGTGCGGCAGCCCTTGTCTTCCACTCAGAGAGCGTCTTGTTGAGATCCGCGCGACGCGACTTGTCAGCCGCCAGTGCCAAACAGGCGAAGCTATGCGGCAGGCGGTCCAGCACCGCACACACTCCGTGAGTCTTATCGTCGCTGCTCGGGTAGAAGGTCATCGTCGACGTCGGCCTGTTGATAAACATGTGCACCCTGGCCAGCTCGCAAACCCTCTGCGCACATACGGTGTACACAAAACATGATATAAGTGCAAACCGGTAACCATCATCTGACCCACATGGTAGCCCAACACGACGAACCGAAAAAGGGCCCCAACGGTAACATGCCCGCTCACCTTCCACGCCTTGTCCGTCGGCAAATGCTCCAAAGCGCGTTGCAGAATAGGAGACTTGGCGGTACGCATATGACGGCCACCAGAACCATGCGTGTCGTCATCGTCATCCTCGCCGTCGCCGTCGGACCCGCCACTCCACGTCTCACCACGCTGTCGCTTCGGGTTCATACAACCCTGCCCCGGGTCTCTCTGCTTCTGAGCCTTACGCTTACGAGAGCCACCGGAAGGGCGAGACATCGCATTCAAGAACAGCTCCTCCAAACGCGCGTTCTCCTTGGCGCTCTTGTCCTGCGCCTGTATGAGTTGCTCGAGGATCCGGCTAGGGATGCGCACTTCCTCGCCGTTGGCGTCCAAGCTGTTCACGCGTGTGCGGCCAACAAGTCCGTCCGCCTGTCCTCGGCCGTTGCCTCGAGACACATCCGTGTCCCGCGCATCTTGATGTGTGCGCATGTCAGCATTGGCCGCGGATATTCCCGCACATCCATCGTCGTGCGTCTTCCCTCCAGCGCCCTGGTCGGCGGATTCCTTGTGTGATCCTGGCGCAGATGTGTCTTCGCTTTCCTCGTCCTCTTCCTCGCTGCGCTCAAACGAATCTGCACTCTCTGCACCCGTGCCGTCATCTGTGGGTGAGAGAAACACCAGGGAATCACAACACCACGAGTTAGCATCTTGCGTTACTCCATAGCTCGACGGCGTTACAACATCGCGTGCAGCAAACGTCGGGACTCATCCACACAATCTCGTTCTGCATACCTTGCTCTGAATGTGCCACCTCCTTTCCCTTAGTGGACAAGCTCAGGCGCTTGGGAACGGTCGCCCCACGCTTCCCGTTCGACAGCCGACCTCGCGGCATCGTCAACTGGTATGACGAACGCAGGTATGCCGGCGGTTGCGAGACACGACGTGAGCGGCCTACGGCCCTCGTATCCTCGGAAGCAATCGAGGTCTCCATTATAGCAGTTGAAGTATCCTGTGAGATGCTTTGATAGTGACGCGCTAGCCATTTTTCTACGTAGAGTTGGGAGCTCAACTTCCAAACACACCTCGACACCGTTTACTCGAGGAGTTTGGTAGAGAGGAATACCTCGTGCACATGTGGACGACCGCAATCCAAAACGTCCAATGATTGAACAGCACGTCATCATATCGGTGACGGGTGTCCACAGCAGAACCATACACTGCGCACATCGTGGTGACACAACCGTATCCATGTACCTCGTTTGTGCGACCACTGGTATAGACATCCGGTTTCCTGTATTCAGTGATTCCATAAACCTTTTCCGACATTCAGCACACCAACTGCACGATAACGCATCCAGCTAACAAAACAACCCGGGCACACCGTGTAATCACAATCATTAGCATTGATCGCACATGCATACAACCACATAAGCACACTATGAAGATCAGCTACGTGTTCACACAGATGGTAGGAAATACACGCACAGACAAGTATAGGGTTATGCTTTGACTCCACAACCACTATGCCGCTGTGGCTGCCATCTTCTCTTGTGCACCGCTGTCTCCCTGTCGCTCTTCCTGGTCATTTTCCTTTGCACCTCCGCCGTGCCCGTTGCTCAAGGTGGCTGTCCCCCCACTCTCTGCATTCTCGGGGGCCGCCGGTTCGTTGGTAGCCGTGTTGTTGTTATCCACCACCCTGGGCCTCTTTGATGTACCTGTGTCACCCCCACGCTTCCTCCCTCGTTTCAGCCTACAGCTCACGCTCTCCAGCGCCTCACGCCAGCTTCGCCACCTCCACCACTTCCTGGCTTCCACCAGTATCTGCAAATCTTCTTTTGTGCATCCCCGCAGCATCGCCTTCTCAGCTGCTGACAGGGTGACTGTGTTGGGTATCCTGTCGCGTGGCCTCAGGACGAACGCACCAGCGGCGTACGCGAATGCCGCCTCTTCCTCCGTGGTGTATGCTCCCAGGCGCTGCTGCTTACGCTTTCCACGTTCTTTGATCAAGATCTTGACGCCGAACTTGCCAGTCCGTTTGTCCAGCTTCACACCCGTGTACGTGGTTGCACACGTATCCTCGTCCTCGCCATCGTCGTCTGAGTCGGACACAAGATCCTCCTCCTCTTCGCCCTTCAGCGTCTCCTGCCCGTGCGTGTCTCCCCACGCGGCATCTCCAGGTGGCACACCGTTCCCGAGCAGCTGCCTCCCGCGCGTGAACATCCAGTGAGGTATGGCACCTTGGGAGAGCAGCGGGTTCGGGAGCAGGCTCGATGTAGGCTCACATGCAGCGAACGTGGAGGCCAGCGCTACCCGGGTGCCGTTGCGCACGCCGTCCTTCTCAGGACTGCTGTCGGCCCGCGTCTTACGGGCAGACGGACGCTGTGGTATGCGTGGCGCAGTCTTGTTGCCACCCGCGTCTGCATTCGTGCCGGTGCCCGGGTGACCGCCATGCAGCAGCAGTTGGGATGCAGCGGACACGACCTCGTCCCGCCTCAGTCCCACAAAGTTGGCGATCACGGTGACGGTGGCGTTCAGGTACCTCACATCGTTAGTCAAGCAGGCTACACGCCTCATCACCTCCGTAACCCGTGCGTCCTCCACAGGGCGAGTGACCGGTGCCGGCCTCCCATCTCCCACAACCGCGTTCTTCACCTGCACCACTGTACCCTCATCGGTAACCCGGCCTTCGTCCTGCGGGGGGATCTCAATTCCCATGTCCTGCAGCTGTTGCAAAAGAGCGCCGCTCGCGTGTGCACACAGGTCGCGCCGCATCTCCCGCCTGTATTGGTGCGGTGTCACACCCTGGAACCAGATGCCCGAAAGAACCGTGGCGAAGTCTGTATTCACCAGGGTCTTGAGGTACTGGCAAACAAAAATCCCACAGTCCTCCTTGTTAGGCTGCTGTGGCAGCTTGTCCTCCTGCCAATATGGGAACGCATACAGCGTTTATTAGTCTGCACACCTGCATATGTGAAACCGCACATTGGTGTCCACTAACAATGTCGCATACTGACCCGTAAAATTATGCAGTCCGCCTCCTTCAGCGTCTTGTCCACAAACTCCATGTTCGCGCTTGGGGTGCTCGCCTTTGCGAGCTCAGACAGCACACTGAACGCAACAGGTCAAGTGGTATTAATATACAGATCAAGCAAGGCTACTGTATACGAACTTATTTAAACCCATACTCACAGCTTTGTTCCTGCAAAAATCTTGCGGCTATTCCGATGCTTGATCGCGCTGTCCATCAAGACCAACGTCAAGCGCTCTTTGCCCTTCGATTTCGGCGACTTGGTGAGCACCGATGGATTTATAGCGATGACCAGCGAATAGTGCTTACTGCGCGCAACATGAGCGGTGTTAAACGTGTTAGTGGATAGACACTACACCATGGCACACAACCGAAACCCATCGAAAAAACACGTTATGCACGATACTCACGATTCTAGCACCGGGATCGCCAGATAATCGTGTTCCAGAAGCGGCCGCCCGCTCCCAAGAGTTAACGGCGCACCGCACGAATTCGTCTGTGTGTAAGCCTTGCAGTCCAGGGCGGCCCATATCTTCCCGTCGCGGAGCGTTGGTTTCCTGATGCTAAGCAGCCTGCGAAGAGGTGAACAAGTATATGTTACCACATCTGGCTACAGGCATCAGTAACAATCGCGCAAAGGCCCGCGTAAAGGGTGCGGCCGTCATAACAGGTACTTACACGTTGTAAAAGTCGATGACACCATCTGTAATCCATTGATCGTCCTCAATGGACATGAGTTCGTCCTTATCCACCTCGCATCACGTTGCTGTACGATGCCTTATGATAATTCCGGGCGATAGCGGCCACCATGTCGTCCGGCACGGGCTCCTTTGCCTTTTTCACAACATGAGACGCGAACCTAGAAGCCCTTCCGGAGTCCTTCGTCGGCGGGCTGGGAGCAGTAGGATTGTCGCCCTTGTTCGACGCCATAGATCTGGTGACGGGCGGGTCGGGATCTTCGTCATCGCCGCTGCTGCTAGTCTCCGGTTCATAGAACCGGTTGCGCTTAGAGACCAACTGTTTAGGTTTCGCCATCCAGAACGAGCACTCACTACCATTCGGAGGACGCAGAGTGATTAATAGTTGAGCACGGAGGGGATGACTGGGTGAGCACAGCTACTCACGGATATCGCGATAGTGGCACTATTCGGAATGAAGGGGAGAGCAGGGCGTCACCCATGCCTTCGTGCCAGGCTGGTCCGAACGTCATGCCCGTGCTCAATGACCTACACCGTTTGCGCAGAATCGCATGCGATGCACCAGGTGTGATTGGACAGCTCACCTGGATGTGACGGTGAGGTCACATGCAGATCCACGTGTGATGAGCCGAGGGTTTCGGAATACGTGGTCCGAGGTTTGGGTGGGTCACCAAACCTGGTGCATGGTGGTTTGGCCAGTCGTGGCCCGATTTTCTTGTACATTCCGAATGACGCAGAATCCGATGTCCCCGTACGCGGTAGGGGACACATGGGTCGTTGCGTTCGTAGGGCGCGCCGAGCCTCAATTATAATCCGCAGTTGTGCTATGAGTTGAGATAATCGTGTACTGGTATACGCGGTTATTCAATGTTTTGCTATATTTTTATGGGTAGGTAAAAAATGTGTGGGTGTATACGTGCATTGCGCGACATTGCATAGGAATTTGCAGAACAGCTTTGGGGTCGTTGTGTTTGTATGCACACATATTCAGTCCTTGGTCCTCGACACATCGGGACATGAGTTTTTTTTTTTTAATAAATAAATGAACCCTTTAGACTGCTTTTATTAAATAGCAAATCCTCATGTTGGGGTGTTACTTGATTACGTGTAACACATGACTGGTTGTGTCCTGCACACGGTTCATCGTCTTCATGCACATGTGTGTGCGATAAGTTGTTCATGTGCGTTGTATTAGTGTGCACAAGAGGTACTGAACACGGTTTCGCTTGCTGGGCCCCTTAGGGTTTCACGGCTGTAGGATGACGGGCAACAGTTGCCTGGTGTGCGAGACGGTGTTTAAAGACGACAGCAGGTTACAGTCTCATGTCGCTAATGGTGCAGTTTGTCGCGCCGAGTTGAAGAGGAAACGAGAGAGTCTTTTGCTAGCTGCATATTTGGAAGCCCTTGCATGCGACGGGGAGAGCAGACCTAACACACCGCCGGCCTCCCGGCGTAAGGAGAATGATGGCAGTTTTGTATCTGTTGCTCCAACGGCTTCGCTCCCCGAAGTCAGTCTTGTTGGAGACGAGGATACACCGGCTGACGGCGAGCCTGCAGAGTCTTCGGAAGACAGCGTGAGGGCGGAGATTTTCGATACACTGACAAAGTTGTACCTTTTCTTCAGGGACGCCGACCTTTCGCACAGGGAGGTTAACCGTCTGCTACACATTTTCCGCAATCCGCGCTTCAACCTACGGGCCCTCAGACGATGGCGCAACTGGGTGGACGTGCGCCGCTGGGGCATGGCGCGAGCTCCCGCCGACATGGTCCCTTGGAAAACGGAGGAAATAGTGGTGCGGGGCCCCAAAGGAATGCAAATGAAGCTGCTACTGCACTTCCGCGACACAGAGCTGGTTCGTAATAGAAGCCCGTTGGGAGCTCGCGACGTCGTAATTAAGTGTCGCCCGAGACAACCGTTCATTACCTACCATAACTCGCACCTGATTCCACCTCGATGCCCGCAGATTTTGAAGAAGCTGGTGCGGACGTTCTCATCGAAGAAGGGGTTCGTTTGGAAACCAAGGAAGATTCATCGGAAGAAGAACAACGAGAGGGTGTTTGAAGGACCGGAGACGGGTGATTGGATGCACGCTGCCCAGGTACGCGCAGCGTTTGGCCTCTCCCCATTAATTGTGGATTACAACAAGCGCGTTGCAGTCGAATACCCACAGCTCACCGGCACGTGTGGTGCACATGGCAGAAGGAGATTAATGACGAGGATGCACTCATTCTAGGCGTGCTGATATACAGTGACAGCACCCAGGCATCACGGAATGGCAGGAGGAACGCGTGGCCGGTGCTGATCTCACTTATCAACATTCCGGCGGAATTGCGAGGAGTGGAGCCTGGGCACACATTGGCGGCGGTGCTTCCGTTCCCACCTGAGTGGGCATCGCCTACGGAGAAGACGCGCGTGTTCCAGGAGGCACTAAAGATCATCCTCGCGCCCATCATGCGAGAGTCTGCAAGGTACACTGGGGGAGAGGGGTGGTGTTGAAAGTGCTACACGAAGTCGGCCGTGGTGTGCACCCCATCAAGTAGCGAGTGCAGAGAGGACACCGAGTTGTGTATATGTGACATCACTAACTGCACACCATGTGTGCATTTGTACACTGCGCAGCGCGCCAGTTCGCTTCTTCTACTGCACAGACGCGGACGGGAAGGTGCACAAGGCGGTCCCTTGCCTGTACGGATACCCTGCCGACTTCCCTAAATCCAGCAGAGCATCTGCGACGCTTCAGCAAGGGTCGCATCGACCATGCGCTAACTGCTATGCAGACAAGGGGGAGTTGACCATGATGGTGGGGAAGGTGGATCCACGAACCACCGAGAAGCAGAGGGACATTGTCCGACAGATCCTGGCGTGTAAGAAGCAAAGCCACGCTGACGATGTGCGGAAGTTGTGGTCAACCCATCCGATCGAGGTGTGTTTCGAGTTGGATAAGATCCTGGTTTAGGGTTCCGGTGGGCACGTTTTGACACCGTCGAGCCCTCCGTTGCACCGTGCAGTGCGTGCTTCACAGGTGGAATTTCGCAGACACAGAGTGGGGCAACGTGTATCTGGCATGCCTTGCAGACACACTGCATGTTCTGGACTCTGGTGTGCTGATCCACATGATGGACACCTACATAGAGCCGCTCGGGAAGGTTGAGATGCGGCTGCTTGAACGGTGAGCCGGGTGTTGCTGGGTGGTCGAACTGGGCATGCTCTACCTTGCCGGGGTCAGTTGGTTTGTAGGACACCATGTGTGCCGCTACATGAGCTCCTCGAATCCGTGTTGTGCGCAGACGCAAGAAGGAGTTCAAGGCCATCACGCCTAGCGTTCTCCTCCGAATCCCAGGGGGCTCATCGTTCTTCAGTTCAGGCGCAAATTACGCCGCGTTCGAGCACAGGAGCATGATGCAGATAATGCCGATATTGGTGGCTGACGAGAGTGCATTGAAGGGTGGAGAGGAGGGAGAGCTGCGTGCTTTGCAGGTCAAAGCGTTCCGGCTGTTTGCTGTGTTTTACAAGGCGTTTCTGGGGGTTGACAGGCACACACATACAACAATTGCGATTGCACGTCAGCATGCGATAGCGTGACTACATACATGAGTACGCCGAGAGGTTGGTCGGGGTGCTGGGAGCGTGTGCGGTGTGATTGTGCAGACAATGTGGTGTGATACACGATGGTTCATCGAGTGTTGTATGCTTTTGTGGACGGTGTGGCAGGTTGGTGGAGTTGCTACCGCGGGCATTTCCAAAGCAGGCATCCCACTGGAGACTCCCAAAGATACACATGATAAGGCACTTACTGGACAACGTTGTCCACCGTGGGATGCCGCACCATTATTCCACGGAAATGTGGGAGCGCACGCACAAGGGCACGGTTAAGGGTCCAGTAAGAGGGAGCAACTGGAGCGACATTCCACGCCGCATTGTGGAGGAGGAGGTGCAGCGAGAGGTGTACCGTGAAGTGGCTGCAGACGCGGGGGGTGGGCGACAGTACGCGACCGCATTGAGCGAGGTGAGTACGGGTGTCCTTGGTACGGTGATGGCCATTGGGAGTATACAGTGGAGCGGTTTACCAGGGAAGAGCCGTGCCTCACGCGGTATGCGGTTTGTTGTGTGCATGTGGGCGTCACGTGCAGGCAATCAAGACGAGGAAACCGGTGCTTACAAAGAAGTATCTGATCATGCGCATAGGGGGGGAGTCGGATCCAGTGTACAACGAGTACACCGCCGCGCTTGGAGACGAGATGAAGGGGATGGCAGATGAGTTCAAGGCGTTGGGGCTGTCTACCAACAACGTGCAGGTGAGGTGATGATGTGGTAGCGTTACATGACGCATCCGGGGTTGTCACGTTGGTTGTCACTGCACTCATGATGGTATCTGATGATGGATTGGGTTCCATGGTGTGACAGGTCCACACGGCGGTGGCCATTCCGCGCACAAGGGGCGGGGAGCTAGTGGCAAAAGGGACATTTGTGAAGGCGTCTCCCCGAGAGAGGTGGTATTCGGACGTGGCACTGCTGAACAACAAGAAGGGGGACTGGTTTGCAAGATGTCTGTGCATCTTCAGGGCGGTTGACCGTGATGGGGAGTAGAAGGGGTACGCATACGTGCGGTACTATGAGGGGGCGGGAAGATGCAAGCTTACGGGGTGCAAGCAGCTGCACAAGAAAGTGGAGAAGGTGAGGTACTCGGTGGTGGAGTTGAGGAGCCTGCAGAGAGTGGTGCACGTGTGCCCTTCGTATAGCAACAAGAATGTGCAATTAGTGAACAGGTTTTTGCTATGTGAGTGACGATGCATGTTGGTGGGGTGGAACGGCAGTGCTGATCCACATGGTTGGCAAACAACGCGCTATACGATTTAGCTGTGTGGAATGCAGGATTGATGGGTACATGAATGCAGTAGGTACACGAAATTGTGGTTGGAATTGATGGTGACATGGGTATGGTGTGTTGCAGACAGCGAAAGGCCAAAGGCACGGATGATATAATGTGCACATATGTCTATGGCAATCAGATGGCCAATTGTGCATGGGTAGGCCGCACAGATGACGTATGCCAAATGTTGTTGCAGGCGTTTAAACAGAATGTTAATTGTGCTTGCAGTTTGAATGTCAGGTACATAACGAGTATGAGTACAGTTGACGTTTGTGCGGTCGAGGTTGACGCGCTTCAATGTGTGGTGGTGTGAACGACCGAGCACATGCTGTCAGAATAACTAGCCAAGAATGAATGAACTAGCAGAAGTTTGGGTACAAATATGAAACCCTAGTTGGGGTTGTACCCCATATTGGCTACCCCACTACAGCCTACAAGCATACTACAGTTTAACACACCCCCATAGGCAAAGTGGGGGAGAACAAAGGGTCACAAGACCAGTCCAGCAAAGCAAAGCAAAGCAAAGCCCAGGGTGGATCACAACGTCACCACACTCCGAGCACAAGTAAAGGCCACAAGGCCAGTTCACATGCAGTGCTAGATATAGTACAAGACAAGCAACACAATGATCAAAACCTAGCAAGCAAGCAAAAAGATATATATAAAGTACAGTACAAAGAATGTCAAGCAGTGAGCAAGTGAGGAAACGTGGACACAAGGCCTAAAGAAGTACAGTGCCGCTGATGATCACTAGGCGGGAGCGCCTTGGTGAAGATATCAGCAGTGTTGGCCTTCGAGTCCACGTACACAAGCCGAAGCTGACCGCGCTGCTGAAGCTCTCGAGCAAGAAAGTAGCGAAGAGCAATGTGCTTCGTCCTGTGCTCCAGTCTGTGCTCCTGACACAAGGCAAGAGCCGCCTTGTTGTCACCGTACAGAACTGGAGGAGAACTAGGCCGCTCTCCCAAGTCAGTCAGCAGGTAGGTGAGCCAGCGTAACTCCTGTGCAGCCATGGCTGTGGCGTAGATCTCAGCCTCACAACTAGAGCCGAGAACAGAGGAAGAGCGGGTGGACCGCCACGAGACAGAACCAGAGCCAAGGCTGAAGGTGTAACCCTGTGACGACCGCTGCGTAGCCAGGTCGTCCACCCAAGAAGCGTCCGAGTGACCAGTGAGGACAACTCTGTCGCGTCCTCGAGGTGAGTGTGCTCTTGGCATGGACGTCCTTGAGGACAGATAGGAGGAGTTCCAGTGCTTTGCTGCTGCTTTGCCCCACCTCGTGTCCATGCTAGTTGCCCCTGAGGGAGACCCGGATGCACCAGACATCCCGACCCCGCGCACTTACGCTGAGGCGATGGCAGGTCCCTACTCCTCTCAGTGGCAGACAGCCATGGACGCAGAGATGGCTTCCTGGAAGTCCACACGCACCTACGTCGACGAGGTTCCCCCACCTGGGGCGAACATCGTCAGTGGCATGTGGATTTTCAGGGTGAAGCGGCCACCGGGTTCTCCTCCTGTCTTCAAGGCGCGCTACGTGGCTCGAGGCTTCAGTCAGCGAGAGGGAGTTGACTTCTTTCAGACCTTCTCCCCCACCCCGAAGATGACCACTCTTCGGGTGCTGCTGCACATAGCCGCTCAGCGCGACTACGAGCTTCACTCACTTGACTTCAGCACTGCTTTCTTGCAGGGCAGCCTGCACGAGGAGATCTGGCTGCGCCGCCCTCCTGGCTTCACTGGGTCGGTTCCTCCTGGTACCCAGTGGAGGCTTCAGCAGCCGGTCTACGGTCTCCGCCAGGCACCGCGTGAGTGGCACGACACACTGAGGACGACACTTGCGGCTCTTGGGTTCGCTCCCTCTACTGCTGACCCGTCACTGTTTCTACGCACAGACACCTCACTGCCGCCGTTCTACATCCTCGTGTACGTCGACGACTTGGTCTTTGCCACTGCTGACACCGCGGCACTTGCCCACGTGAAGTCGGAGCTGCAGAGGAGACACACGTGCACAGACCTGGGTGAACTGACAAGCTATCTTGGCTTGCGGATCACCCGGGACAGAGCACGGCGCACCATCACCTTGACTCAGTCACACATGGTGCAGCAGATCCTTCAGCGCTTCCGCTTCACGTACTCCTCGCCTCAGTCCACTCCTCTGCCTACCGGTCACTCGCTCTCAGCTCTGCCTTCGGATGAGTCCGTAGAGCCGAGTGGCCCGTATCCAGAGCTTGTGGGCTGCCTCATGTACCTGATGACCTGCACTCGACCTGACCTTGCATACCCTCTTAGCATCCTTGCACGCTATGTCGCTCCTGGCCGTCACAGGAAGGAGCACATGGATGCCGCTAAGAGGGTGTTGCGCTACTTGTGCAGTACGTCGGGCATGGGGCTAGTGCTTGGAGGGCGAGACCGAGTTGTACTTACTGGACACTCAGACGCTTCTTGGGCGGACGACCAGGCTACTCAGCGGTCGTCTCAGGGTTACACCTTCAGCCTTGGCTCCGGCTCAGTTTCTTGGCGTTCTACACGCTCTTCTTCTGTTCTCAGCTCCAGTTGTGAGGCTGAGATCTACGCCACAGCCATGGCTGCCCAGGAGCTACGCTGGCTGACCTACCTGCTGACCGACTTGGGTGAGCGGCCTCGTTCTCCTCCAGTGCTGTACGTCGACAACCAGGCTGCCATTGCCTTGTGTGAGGAGCACAGACTGGAGCACAGAACGAAGCACATCGCCCTGCGGTACTTCCTTGCTCGAGAGCTGCAGCAGCGCGGTCAGCTTTGTCTGCGTTACGTGGCCACTGAGGCCAACCTTGCTGATGTGTTCACCAAGGCGCTTCTGCCTTGTGACCATCAGCGCTTCTGCACTCTGCTAGGCCTTGTGCCTACTGGACCTCACTTACTTACCTCTTGACCTTGCTTGTACTGTGATCACTATATATATATATCTACCTGCATGTTTACTCTTGCTAGGTTGTGATCACTGTATCTCATGCTCTGTTATAAACCTGCATGTGAACTGGTCTTGTGACCACTAGCTTGTGCTCGGAATTTGTGTGGTATCCTTGAGATCCACCCTGAGCTTGTTGTTGCCTTGTTTTGCCTTGCTTTGCCTTGACTGGTCTTGTGACCCCTAGGTCTCTCCCACTTTGCCTATGGGGGTGTGTCAAACATTATATGTGTTGTGTTTGTGTAGGCTGTAGTGGGTTAGCCTATAGGGGGGTCACAACATTAGGGTTTCATATTTGTACTCACAATCCTTTCTAGTTCACCATTCCAGTCCGTTATTACTGACACAAAACACGCACCCACACACACGCACGCACGCACACGCACACATACACACTTCCCTACTCTCTCTCACACACGTACACAGACACAGACACAGACACAGACACACACACACACACACACATACACATACACACACACACACACACATACACACACACACACACACACACACACACACACACACACACACACACACACATACGATTTTGCATGCTCGCTAGCTCATTGACATGATTGTAACAGGGGCAACACATGCAGCGAGGCAAACGTGTACGCCAAGCTCTAGAATGAGACTGATAGTGATGGGAGAAGGGCTGTGCAAGACGTGAGCTGGGGTTGTGCAATCCTGGATTTTGCTCTAGTGGGAAACTTTGTATATTTGTTTTTCTTTATCTATGCATCTCAAATTTATGGCATGTAGTTCATATAATTCACTTGTAGACTCCACCGCATCTCACGGCGATTCAATCAGTTTTTTCGGCGTAAAGCACGAGAGTCAAGTATTTTTCCTGGGTGACGTGCACGAAGTGGCGGTTGCTGAAGGGTAGATGGTTCACGAAAAAACCCGAAACCCGCTAGAGAACTTCCAGAATTCTGAGCTGGAAAATATATTTTTCAATACGAGAACCCTGTGCATGATCCTAAGTTTGACGCTTACTTGCAAACCGGTTTCTTGGTCTTGGGTGAGGTCACACGCCCGAAGCTAGCGGGTTCTTCACAGCCACTTTCTGAAACTGGAAACGGGATCCCAGTTCCCACAGGTCTAAGCTCGGGCATTCAGATGAGAGAAAAATGTGTACGGCCGCCACGACTGGTGGAACGCCCTCAATTTTGCTCATAACCTTTTGCGATTCAAGCAAACCGTTTGGTATCAATATTTATCGCACTAGAAGCGTGTGTAACACACGACACCACTGAAGATCCACTTCGTAGTCAATCAATTCATTCAGATGAATTATGGTTGGAACGCGTTTCACCGAACTTCTCGATGCTGATTCGCTGAGGATAGCGATTCGCAATGGTGACCGCGCCGAGCACGAGAGATTCCGTTTCAACCCATTCACTCACATCCACAACAATCCGCCCTCTCACGCCATACAAATACCCACGGCTTTTTCCTTCCCAACACCAGTACACTTCGAAGCTCTTGAGTTGAACTCTCTACATCCTCTCACTAGCTACTAGTAGTTATCATGGCGCGCCTTCTTACTGCCCTCGCTCTCCTGCTTGCGTTCACCGTCACTCTTGCATCATTCGCTTCTACTGCTGCTGCTCGATCTTTTCGGCTTCCTGGCAATGGTAAGTTGCAGATCTGCACTACTCATCGCTTCTCCCTCTGACGCGCACAACTCTGAGAACGATTTTTGAGAATTCTCAAGAATTCTTACAAGAGTGACCAATCCGACGAAATTAAGGGAGAATCACTCTGCACGGCCCGTCGCGTCGGACGCGCACCCCTCAGCGTCCAAACCGTGCCTCAAAGTCCCCACGCCACATGAAACACAAGGGGGAAGCGCCTGATATTCACTCTCTCCCCTTGCTTCCCCTCACCCCTTCCCCCGAACCCCTCGTCACCTGCGCGAATCTACGGTGTCGGCATGGCGCGGCGGCAGGTGCCTTGGGAGCGGTAAACACCGCCGGCGGCGGCATCACGGCAGAGAGCGCGGGGGACGAGCAGGATCGCCGCGAACTCATTCGGTTGAGGTCGACGGCGAAAGATGGTAAGAATGATCAAGATCCTGCATATCATTGAAATTCCACTCCTGCAGTTGATTTGTTCTGTTCCTCTCTTTTATTTTCTGCTGTTACTGTATACAAGGAGCTGGTGATACCGTACTGCCCATAAGGCTGGCCAGCATTGGCAGATCATGACCGTCCATTCACTCCTGCCTCCCTTGATGTCGCTTATTCTCATGCGGTCGCACCCTGACGAGAAGAAGTCGATTCAACTGTCCCCCCTTTCTGTCGCCCGTTTGCAGGCACGCTGTGCTCTCAAGTGATGAAGAGAGATTGCTCGGCGCCGAAAACAATCTTTATGGGTCTTATCAAAGTTAAATGGCCCAGCCCGGAGGAAATCAAGGCGTGCGAGGAGAAAAATGTGGTACAGCGTCAGGAGTGCGGGCTGTGAGGCTGGTGAGCGGGAGATGCATGCTTGTGAGAGGGCGATGCATGTTTGTGAGAGGGCGATGCATGTTGGTGAGAGGGCGAGTTGGTGAGGGAGCGGGATGTGGTGCTGCATACCGCATACACACTGCCATGAAACCATGTGCACAAGGGTGTTTCATGCTGCACACACTATCGTCTTAGGGAAAATGATTGGTGTTCCTTAGCGAACAAGCCTCACAAATGTGCCTTCATTTCCAGCCCGATCTTACCCACCTCACTGCCGTGTGCAAGTGCTGTGGGGCCAGCATCATTATGCCACCACACCAGTGTGTGCATGTGCTGTGGGTCTCACCAATCATGATGACAGCATGAGGCCACATGGAAAGGCCATAGCAGCTCTCCCTTTGCAGCGCGGCAGAGTCTGGAGAGCCTATGATGTGGGGCCCACCGCGCCCATGTGTGCATGTGCTGAGGAACTAATTCGTACCACCTCCCTACCTTGTCCTTCTCTCGTCAGATCCTGCAGCCGCCAAGTGCAGTTCCAAGCAACATTGGGTGGGGTGGGGGTAGGGGGTGGGGTTGGGCTTCTGAGGCTATCGAGGCTGTGACCGTTTAGGTGGGGGGCTTCTGTTAGCCTTGTGACCATGTGGGTGATTGAGGGTATGCTGTGCCGTTGTTTAGGTGGTTGCTGGTGGCTGGACGTCAAATAGGTGTACCTGATTGTAGCACTGTATTTAACCTATCAAATCTTTGCCTCATCAGCAGCTTATGCATGAATGTCGCACATGACGCACAACACCTCACCGCTGAAGCGGTAACTTTCAAGTGCCTGGTTGAAAGTGTAACAGCTGTAGTTATTGAACCCTATGCTGTAACAGCTGGTTGTATCTACCGTATCATTCCTTGAACCCTGTGCTAGGTGCATCTATAGAGCAGCTAATACATGAATCGCTGTACATGCTAGCCTGAAGCATCACATCACAAAGCAGAGATTGTGAGTGTGGTGGGTGTGATTCCACACTCCTAGCAGGGGGAGGGATACACAGGATTCTAGGGGTGAATAGGGTAAGGAGAAGCATCTATATTTGTTCATACAAATGTTCGATTATGTTCAGAAAGTGGCCTCTCCACTGGTCAAGCACACTTTTGGGCAAATCAGCAGCAGGGAGTGACGCTTTAGACGAGGAAACTGTGACTCTAAGGGGGCTGCTGCTGAGAGTCTCTGCACACAAAGCAGATTTACAGAAGGAATGAGAGTAAAGCAACTCTGACAAATAGTGATGGAAGATTGGTGCCTGACAATCGAAGTGGATTTTTTTTTTTGTGATGATCGAATACGCATGAGAGCAATCAAACTCCTTGTGTTCCTATTGCTTCCCATAATCTCACTCCACAATTTTATTGCTCACATTTCCATAACATGCACAAAGTGCTAGATTGCGCACACACAAAATGATTATATGTGTTGTGTTTGTGTAGGCTGTAGTGGGTTAGCCTATAGGGGGGTCACAACATTAGGGTTTCATATTTGTACTCACAATCCTTTCTAGTTCACCATTCCAGTCCGTTATTACTGACATGGTTTCAGAGCAGGTCCGTCGCTAGGACTGTTCTTAGGGCCCACCTACCTACCTACCTACCTACTGTGCGCCTCGTGCGCCTGCGCGTCCTAGAGCGCTCCTTACCTACCTACCACGCGCACGCAGCTCGCTAGCCGCCCGCGCGTGGCTTTCCTTTTTTTTTTACCGCGCGCGCCGTACTAGCCGCTCGCGCGCGGCCGTTTTCACGCGTGCGCCCCGCCAGCTGCCCGCGCGCGCTTTATTTTCTTCGCGCGCGGCCCGTCACGCTGCCTCCCCGCTGCCCGCGCGCCTTTGCGCTGCTGCCCGTGCGCCTCGTAGCCTCGCGCACTGCCCGCCGCTGCCCTGTGCGCCACGCTGACGCACCCGCTGCTGCAGCCGCCCGTCGCCTGCTCGCGCACGCCCCGCAGGCCCGCAGCCCGCCGTCGCAGAGGCCGCCCGTCCGCAGCCGCCCGTCGCCTGCTCGCACACGCCCCGCAGCCGCCCGTCGCCTGCTCGCGCACGCCCCGCAGCCGCCCGTCGCCTGCTCGCGCACGCCCCGCAGCCGCCCGTCGCCTGCTCGCGCACGCCCCGCTGCCCGCAGCCCGCCGTCGCAGAGGCCGCCCGTCCGCAGCCGCCCGTCGCCTGCTCGCGCACGCCCCGCAGCCGCCCGTCGCCTGCTCGCGCACGCCCCGCAGCCGCCCGTCGCCTGCTCGCGCACGCCCCGCTGCCCGCAGCCGCCCGTGCGCCGCTGCCACTGCCGCACGTGCGCATACGCAGCTGCCGCCCGTGCGCTGCTTCCGCTGCTGCTTGCGCACCGCCGCCTCCTGCCGTCGCCGCACGTGCACTGCTGCCGCCCGTGCGCCGCCGCTGCCCGTGCGCCGCCGCTGCCCCTACGCTACCTACCGCGCACACTGCTGCCACTGCAGCTGCCACCAGTGCGCCGTTGCAGCTCCTGCTGCCACGCTCCCTACTCCTGCCGCTCGTGTGCCACTACGGACAGTCGACCCCGCCCGCGCCTTACCTAGCGGCCCCGCCGGTCCCGTTGACCCTACGCACACCTTTCCAGCGGCCTAGTTCCTCCTCCTACTACTGTCACTATGGCTAGTCCTCCCGTTCTAGCTTTCGATGCCGAGGGCCGTCCGGTGAAGTTCGAAACCTGGCTAGATGACCTGCACCTGTTCCTACAGCTCACTGCCAAGGAAGACATCTCGCTGTACGACCACGCCCTAGGCCATGCTACTGCCCCTGACACGTCTGCTGACAGCACTCTACGCTCTCAGTGGCAGACTCGTGATGCGCACGCTCGCTTTGCTATTCGCAACTCCCTGCCGCTAGACGAGCGCGAGCACTTCGGCCAGTGCAAGACTGCTAAGGACCTCTACACCGCTGTAGTTGCCCGCTACTCCTCACCCGCTTCTGCTACGCTAGGCCGCCTCACTCTCCCCTACCTGTTCCCCGACCTAGCCTCCTTTCACACTGTCGCAGACCTCATCACCCACCTTAAGACTAGTGAGGCCCGCTTTCGCGCTGCTATGCCTGCCGAGTTTCTCACTAGCAACCCCCCCCCACTCTGGATCACTCTCTACCACATCGTCACCCGCCTCCCTGACTCTCTGCGTGCAGTCAGGGACCACTTCCTCTCTCGCTCCCCCACTGAGCTCACTGTTGCCCTCCTCGAGAAGGAACTGCTTGCAGCTGAGGCGAGCATCGTCGCTGTAGGCACCTCTCGTGGCGACCCCCGCACCCCGTTCTTCGAGGGGTGTTCCCCTTCCCCCCTCCTCCCCTCTGTCGCCTCTGCTGCTGCTGTCGACCTCCTTGGTGCTGAGAAGGTCGGGACCGCGTCTGCTTCGAGCGGGCGCCGCAGGAGCAAGGGAGGCAGGGGTGGGGGTGGTGGCGGAGGAGGTGGGGGTGGAGGCGGTGGGAGTGGAGGCGCGACTGGGGAGGCTAGTGGCGGCAGTGGGGGAGGAGACAGCAGCGGCGGGAGCGGTGGCAGGGGTGGAGGCGGCAGCGGAGGTGGAGGTGGTCGTGGCGGCGGCAGGGGTGGAGGTGGCCGAGGCGGTGGTGGTGGCGGTGGTGGTCGTGGAGGCACTGGCGGAGGCCCGAGTCAGCAGCCCGCCCCGACGCTTCAGGCCGCCCGTGAGTGGTATGCGCAGCGTGGCTTTACCTGCACGTACGTCATTCGCACAGGTGACCGCAGAGGCCAGCAGTGTGGGAGGCCGCACCCCACGCACCGCTGCTTCGCGCGCCTTAACGACGCGTGGCGCACCCAGTTTCCCGATGCCGCTGAGCTGCCGCGCTGGGCTGATCTGGAAAAGAGGGGTGTCGATATTTGGGCTCTAGACTTTGATGCTATTCTCACTGCCATGTATGCCATGTCTATTAGTGGAGAGGGTGCTCAGTACTTGCGTGTTCCGCCCGACCCGGGCATTCAGGCCAGTCCGGCTGCCGCTCTAGGTGCTAGTGCGTCTGCTCCCACAGGTCCTGGTGAGGCTGCTGCCCTAGGTGCTAGTGCGTCCGTGCCCCCTGGTACTGGGTTGACTGCAGCACTGCACACCTTCACACTGGACTCAGGTGCCTCTCGCTCTTTCTTTCGTGACCGCACTGTCCTTGAGCCACTCGCTCGGCTAGTTGCTGTCTCCCTTGCTGACCCCTCTGGGGGTCCGGTCATTGCGACCTCCTCCACTGTTCTTCCTTGTCCTGCGGTCCCGTCCGGCACGCTTTCAGGATCTACCTCCCCTCGTTCTCTACGAACTTGGTGGCGGGTTGTGCGCTCCAGGACAGGGGTGTCCACCAGTTCACCCCTGCCTACGAGCGCGTGACACACTGCACGTGTGCTCGGACGGGTCGCCACCTGGCTACTTTCACTCGAGAGCCGGGGTCGGACCTGTACACACTGACCACTGAGTCCCCTCAGGTAGCTGCGTCTGCGTCTACGTCTGCGTCTGCGTCAGGTCAGCTGTCCGCCCCCTGCTCGTGTCGCTCTCTGGCGCATGAGACTGTCCTTTGGCACCACCGCCTTGGTCACCCGTCTGTGCAGCGCCTTCGGGCCATGCACAAACGGGACCTTGTTGCTGGTCTTCCCAGGGTGCTCCCTCCCCTTCCCGCCTCGCCTGCTCCTCCCTGTATTCCCTGTGTCGAGGGGCGGCAGCGCGCCGCTCCTCACTCCTCCTCCTTTCCCCCGACGACTGCTCCCTTGCAGACGCTCCACTTGGACGTGTGGGGCCCAGCCCGCGTCCGTGGACAGGGTCAGGAGCGGTACTTCCTGCTCGTTGTTGACGACTTCTCGCGCTACACCACGGTCTTCCCCTTGCGAGCCAAGGGTGACGTACCTGATGCCTTGATCCCATGGATTCGCAGATCTCGTCTCCAGCTCACCAGGCGTTTCCGCTCCGACTTTCCTGTCCTGCGTCTGCACTCTGACAGAGGTGGGGAGTTTTCCTCTGGCCTCCTGGAGGCCTTCTGTCAGCAGGAGGGCATTGAGCAGTCGTTCACGCTTCCGGCCTCTCCACAGCAGAATGGGGTTGCTGAGCGCCGCATTGGTCTAGTCATGGAGGTCGCTCGTACCTCCTTGAGTCATGCGGCTGCCCCCCATTTTCTGTGGCCGTTTGCGGTCCGATACGCTGCGCATCAGCTCAACCTCTGGCCCCGTGTCTCCTTGCCCGAGACTTCTCCGACACTGCGTTGGACGGGAGAGGCTGGCGATGCGTTGCGTTTTCGGGTCTGGGGATCCCGAGCTTTTGTCCGCGACACGTCCGCGGACAAGCTCTCCCGTCGCGCTGTCCCCTGCGTCTTCCTTGGCTTTGTCCCGGACGCCCCTGGTTGGCAGTTCTACCACCCCACCTCGCGTCGTGTCCTGGCCTCTCAGGACGTCACTTTTGACAAGTCCGTCCCCTACTACCGTCTCTTCCCCTACCGCACTGCCCCGCTCCCCCCCCCGCCTCTCTTCCTCGCTCCAGGTGCTGAGGTACCAGACCCCCTCCCCCCTCAGGGTGCCGCTCCCTCAGGTGTGTCCCAGGTAGACCCGGGTGAGCCTGTCGAGGTAGCTGTTGACTCTCGTCCTGCGTCTGGGGGTGCTGAGCCTGGGGGTGCTGAGTCTGGGGGTGCGGAGCCTGGGGGTGTTGAGCCTGGAGGTGCGGAGCCTGGCGGTGCGGAGTCTGGGGGTGCTGAGTCTGGTGGTGCTGAGACTGAGCGTGCTACACCTGGAGGAGCCCTCTCCTCCCAGCAGCTGCAGGAGAGGTACCTCGAGTACTGCCGCCTCCGGAGAGGTGCTGCTGGAGCTCGTCCCGGTACTTCCCCTCCTACCCAGGAGCTCCCCCCCATTCAGCAGATCCGAGAGTGGTACACACGCCGCTGCAGTCTTCGGAGTGGTCCTCCGGGTGCTGAGGACCCGAGCGGTGGCGCTGCTGCTGGTGCTGAGGACCCGGGCGGTGGAGCTGCTGCTGGTGCTGAGGACTCGGACGTTGGAGCTACTGCTGGAGCTGGGGACCCGAGCGGTGGAGCTGCTGCTGGAGCTGAGGACCCGGCTGGTGGAGTTCCTGCTGGTGCTGCGGACCCGAGCGGTGGCGCTGCTGCTGGTGCTGCGGACCCGGGCGTTGGAGCTACTGCTGGAGCTGAGGACCCGAGCGGTGGTGCTGCTGCTGGTGCTTAGGACCCGGCCGGTGGAGCTGTAGCTGGTGTTGAGGACCCGGACGTTGGAGCTGCTGCTGGTGCTGAGGACCCTGCCGCTGGTGTCTCTGCTGGTTCTGGAGACGCTACGCGGCTGCGACAGTACTTCGTACCACTTCTTCAGCAGGTTCTTGGTCAGGCTCCTCCTCCCTGTCCTCCTCCCTCAGTAGAGTGTCCTCCGCCTGTCCAGTCGCCGTCACAGTTACCGCCTGCCTCGCCTCTCCCTGCTCCCTCTCCTTACACTGGTCCCACGGGAGGTCTTACAGAGTGTCGTGAGCCTGAGTCTCGTCCTGCGTCGCCTGTTCGTACTGCTCGCACTGGTCGTCGTGTCCCACGTGAGCGTCCTCCTCCTGTCCCTGGCACTCACTACATGACTCTGCGTCCCTCCACTGCTCCTCAGCGTGTCCCGCTACCGTCTCCTCCTGCTTCCTCTCTGCCTACTCTTCCTGACCCGGAGTCTGACTCTCGTCGTGCTGCCAGTCCCACTGTCACCCGTCTCCTCGCTACTGTTGTCACTGACCCTACCTTTGAGTCCACCGCTGCGTCTTCTCTGGTCGCTGAGTTAGTTGACTTTGCTGCTGCCTGTTGTCTAGACTACGCCACTGGCCTTGTTGCTGAGTCTGAGTCTGAGTCTGTCTGTCCTCCGTCCGTCGGGGGTGAGTGTGCTCTTGGCATGGACGTCCTTGAGGACAGACAGGAGGAGTTCCAGTGCTTTGCTGCTGCTTTGCCCCACCTCGTGTCCATGCTAGTTGCCCCTGAGGGAGACCCGGATGCACCAGACATCCCGACCCCGCGCACTTACGCTGAGGCGATGGCGGGTCCCTACTCCTCTCAGTGGCAGACAGCCATGGACGCAGAGATGGCTTCCTGGAAGTCCACACGCACCTACGTCGACGAGGTTCCCCCACCTGGGGCGAACATCGTCAGTGGCATGTGGATTTTCAGGGTGAAGCGGCCACCGGGTTCTCCTCCTGTCTTCAAGGCGCGCTACGTGGCTCGAGGCTTCAGTCAGCGAGAGGGAGTTGACTTCTTTCAGACCTTCTCCCCCACCCCGAAGATGACCACTCTTCGGGTGCTGCTGCACATAGCCGCTCAGCGCGACTACGAGCTTCACTCACTTGACTTCAGCACTGCTTTCTTGCAGGGCAGCCTGCACGAGGAGATCTGGCTGCGCCGCCCTCCTGGCTTCACTGGGTCGGTTCCTCCTGGTACCCAGTGGAGGCTTCAGCGGCCGGTCTACGGTCTCCGCCAGGCACCGCGTGAGTGGCACGACACACTGAGGACGACACTTGCGGCTCTTGGGTTCGCTCCCTCTACTGCTGACCCGTCACTGTTTCTACGCACAGACACCTCACTGCCGCCGTTCTACATCCTCGTGTACGTCGACGACTTGGTCTTTGCCACTGCTGATACCGCGGCACTTGCCCACGTGAAGTCGGAGCTGCAGAGGAGACACACGTGCACAGACCTGGGTGAACTGACAAGCTATCTTGGCTTGCGGATCACCCGGGACAGAGCACGGCGCACCATCACCTTGACTCAGTCACACATGGTGCAGCAGATCCTTCAGCGCTTCCGCTTCACGTACTCCTCGCCTCAGTCCACTCCTCTGCCTACCGGTCACTCGCTCTCAGCTCTGCCTTCGGATGAGTCCGTAGAGCCGAGTGGCCCGTATCCAGAGCTTGTGGGCTGCCTCATGTACCTGATGACCTGCACTCGACCTGACCTTGCATACCCTCTTAGCATCCTTGCACGCTATGTCGCTCCTGGCCGTCACAGGAAGGAGCACATGGATGCCGCTAAGAGGGTGTTGCGCTACTTGTGCAGTACGTCGGGCATGGGGCTAGTGCTTGGAGGGCGAGACCGAGTTGTACTTACTGGACACTCAGACGCTTCTTGGGCGGACGACCAGGCTACTCAGCGGTCGTCTCAGGGTTACACCTTCAGCCTTGGCTCCGGCTCAGTTTCTTGGCGTTCTACACGCTCTTCTTCTGTTCTCAGCTCCAGTTGTGAGGCTGAGATCTACGCCACAGCCATGGCTGCCCAGGAGCTACGCTGGCTGACCTACCTGCTGACCGACTTGGGTGAGCGGCCTCGTTCTCCTCCAGTGCTGTACGTCGACAACCAGGCTGCCATTGCCTTGTGTGAGGAGCACAGACTGGAGCACAGAACGAAGCACATCGCCCTGCGGTACTTCCTTGCTCGAGAGCTGCAGCAGCGCGGTCAGCTTTGTCTGCGTTACGTGGCCACTGAGGCCAACCTTGCTGATGTGTTCACCAAGGCGCTTCTGCCTTGTGACCATCAGCGCTTCTGCACTCTGCTAGGCCTTGTGCCTACTGGACCTCACTTACTTACCTCTTGACCTTGCTTGTACTGTGATCACTATATATATATATATCTACCTGCATGTTTACTCTTGCTAGGTTGTGATCACTGTATCTCATGCTCTGTTATAAACCTGCATGTGAACTGGTCTTGTGACCACTAGCTTGTGCTCGGAATTTGTGTGGTATCCTTGAGATCCACCCTGAGCTTGTTGTTGCCTTGCTTTGCCTTGACTGGTCTTGTGACCCCTAGGTCTCCCCCACTTTGCCTATGGGGGTGTGTCAAACATTATATGTGTTGTGTTTGTGTAGGCTGTAGTGGGTTAGCCTATAGGGGGGTCACAACATTAGGGTTTCATATTTGTACTCACAATCCTTTCTAGTTCACCATTCCAGTCCGTTATTACTGACACAAAACACGCACCCACACACACGCACGCACGCACACGCACACATACACACTTCCCTACTCTCTCTCACACACGCACACAGACACAGATACAGACACAGACACAGACACACACACACACACACACACACACACACACACACACACACACACACACACACACACACACACACACACACACACACACACACACACACACACACACACACACACACACACACACACACACACACACACACACACACACACACACACACACACACACACACACACACACACACACACACACACACACACACACACACACACACACACACACACACACACACACACACACACACACACACACACACACACACACACACACACACACACACACACACACACACACACACACACACACACACACACACACACACACACACACACACACACACACACACACACACACACACACACACACACACACACACACACACACACACATACGATTTTGCATGCTCGCTAGCTCATTGACATGATTGTAACAGGGGCAACACATGCAGCGAGGCAAACGTGTACGCCAAGCTCTAGAATGAGACTGATAGTGATGGGAGAAGGGCTGTGCAAGACGTGAGCTGGGGTTGTGCAATCCTGGATTTTGCTCTAGTGGGAAACTTTGTATATTTGTTTTTCTTTATCTATGCATCTCAAATTTATGGCATGTAGTTCATATAATTCACTTGTAGACTCCACCGCATCTCACGGCGATTCAATCAGTTTTTTCGGCGTAAAGCACGAGAGTCAAGTATTTTTCCTGGGTGACGTGCACGAAGTGGCGGTTGCTGAAGGATAGATGGTTCACGAAAAAACCAAAAACCCGCTAGAGAACTTCCAGAATTCTGAGCTGGAAAATATATTTTTCAATACGAGACCCCTGTGCATGATCCTAAGTTTGACGCTTACTTGCAAACCGGTTTCTTGGTCTTGGGTGAGGTCACACGCCCGTAGCTAGCGGTTCTTCACAGCCACTTTCTGAAACTGGAAACGGGATCCCAGTTCCCACAGGTCTAAGCTCGGGCATTCAGAGTGAGAGAAAAATGTGTACGGCCGCCACGACTGGTGGAACGCCCTCAATTTTGCTCATAACCTTTTGCGATTCAAGCAAACCGTTTGGTATCAATATTTATCGCACTAGAAGCGTGTGTAACACACGACACCACTGAAGATCCACTTCGTAGTCAATCAATTCATTCAGATGAATTATGGTTGGAACGCGTTTCACCGAACTTCTCGATGCTGATTCGCTGAGGATAGCGATTCGCAATGGTGACCGCGCCGAGCACGAGAGATTCCGTTTCAACCCATTCACTCACATCCACAACAATCCGCCCTCTCACGCCATACAAATACCCACGGCTTTTTCCTTCCCAACACCAGTACACTTCGAAGCTCTTGAGTTGAACTCTCTACATCCTCTCACTAGCTACTAGTAGTTATCATGGCGCGCCTTCTTACTGCCCTCGCTCTCCTGCTTGCGTTCACCGTCACTCTTGCATCATTCGCTTCTACTGCTGCTGCTCGATCTTTTCGGCTTCCTGGCAATGGTAAGTTGCAGACCTGTGATATTGGTGCGCATCTCAAGAACTTGAGCAAGTCCTCTGCGCCTGGCTTTAAGGAGCGTGAACAACAACGTATGGCGCTCACGTCGTACCTGCACACATTGTTGCTTCCTCACTCGCACTGCCCCTTCTCAACTTTCCCCACCTCCCCCATCCCCCGTCAAGCGGCAAGTGTACCACTCCAGCTATTTTTACTCCAACCACTTGTGCTCCAGCCATTCACTCTCGAGATTTACCTCTCAAGTGAGAGTCGCTCTACACGGGCCATCGCTCCTCCCTCTACACACCCCTGCATCAGACCATGCCTCACGTCCCCACGCCGCGGGAAAAAATGTCACTCATTCCTTTTTCCCCATGCCCCTCACCCCTTCCCCCTGTTTCTTCCTCCCCTGCGCAAATCTATGTGTCGGCATGGCGCGGCGGCAGGTGCATCGGGAGCGGTAGAAACTGCCGGTGGCGTCATCACGGCGGAGAGCGCGCCGAGTTTTGCTGAGCCTAGCGCGGGGGACGAGCAGGATCGCCGCGAACTCTTTCACGTGACACGTAAGATTGATCAAGCCAAGCCCCCACATGTTTTTGTTCCTGCGGTTATTTTTGGTTTTTGTTTTCTATCATTTCTTGATGATACTGTACAAAGGGAGCTGGTGACTCCGAGCTGCCCATAATGCCGGGAAGCATTATGACCGGCAGTTGGCTGTGAGGGAAGGAATCTCAGCCGTCCATTTGCTCCTGCCTCCCTTGATGTCGCTCGTTCTCAGGCGGCCGTCCAAAGAAAAGAAGTCGACTCAATAGTCCCCCCTTTGCTCTCACCCTTTCGCAGCATCCAACTGCGTTAACGCGAGGAATAAGGATTGCTCAAAGGCGGCGGTTCTATTCTGGACTGTGAGCCTCAACGAAAAGGATAAGAATGCATGCGAGGATGTTCGTACGAAAGCCGTTAAGGAATGCGAGAAGAGGGGCTACTGGTGAGTGCGAGATGCTTGTTGATGCCTCGGCTATGCTTGTTGGTGCATGGGCTGTGCTTGTTGGTGCGAGGGCAAATGCTTTGTTAGTTAGAGGGCAGTATCATTGCAGGGTGTGGTGCTGGTATGATTCCCATGGTTTCGTACACGCAGCCATAAAACCATGTGAAGGGAGTGCCTTGCCGCGCACGCTGCGTGTCATGGGAAGGTTATGCAAGTTGTCCCTTTGGAGTGCACAAACCTCTGCAAGTATTGTCGCATGTGCTGTCATTGCCAGCCCAGTCTTACCCATCTCACACACGCGTGCATGTGCTGTGGGGCTCAGCGCTCATAATGCCAGCATGAGTGCCGCACGGAAAGGCCACAGCAGCTGTCTCTTTGCAGCGCGGCAGGGAGTCTATGTGTGGCCCACCTCGCCCGTGTGGGTCTTTGCTGTGAATCTGACTCGTGCCACCTCCCTGCCTTGTCGTTCTCTCTGCAGATCCAGCAGCAGCCAAGTGCAGTTCCGAGTAACACTGGGTACTAGGGTGGGGATAGGGGGTGGACGGGGGGAGGGGGGAGGGGGGGGGGGGGGAGGAGGGACTTCTGAGGCTGCCGAGGCTGTGAGCGTGTAGGTGGGGGCTTCTGCTTGCTGCAATGGATGTTAGCCTTGTGACCAAGTGGGTGATTGTGGGTATGCTTATCCTTGTGTGTGGTTGCCGGTGCCTGGACCTCAAATAGGTATATGTCATTGTAACACTGTATTTTACGTATCAAATCTTTGCTCCATCAGCAGCTTATGCATGAATATCGTGTATGACGCGCAACACCACACCGCTCCTAAGTGGTAACTCTGCCAGCGTTACTGCATACAGTGGTTCAAGCACCCGGTCGAAAGTGAGCGAGAGTCGAGGCGATTCGACGAGTAAGTAGGTGGATGGAAATAAACCAGCTTGATGAGGCCTAAAACCCGACTTAGCTTACTTATAAGAAAGCCTAAACCAGCGATTACCTCGTATACTTACAGATTAGCATCTAAAAGCGCCCGAACGCAGACTTTCCTCTGGTGCATTTTGTTTGAGAAAGGACCATGCTGGAGAAAGCATCGGATAATACTTGTCAATGAGCAGAGCAGATACTAACAGAGAGAGATCTTAGAATTAGGTGGGAATGGATTGATTAGGAGAAGGTTGGGGGTACAAACCTAGAGTGTCGAGATGATTTGTGTACCCCTTAAGGCTAGCCCCAATATAGCCTAGATAATAACATACATATGTTTTGACACACCCCCATAGGCGAAATGGGGGATAGCCAGAGCAAGCAATGGTCACAAGACCAGTCAAGAGAAGAAACAAAACACAGCTCAGGGTGGATCACAAAGTCACCACACACACTGAGCACAAGCAAAGGGCCACAAGGCCAGTTCATATGCAGAGGTATATATGCAACAAGAACAGTGCAGTGATCTCTTCCTAGCAAGAGCCAACATGCAGGTATATATATAGATCACAGTACAAGCAGAGTCTACAGCAAGTGTGGAAACGTAGGCACAAGGCCCAACAAATTATAAAAGCGCTGATGATCACCAGACAGAAGTGCCTTGGTGAATATATCAGCAGTGCTGACCTGAGTGGCCACGTGAGCAAGACGAAGCTGACCACGCTGCTGCAACTCTCGAGCTAGGAAGTAACGCAGAGCGATGTGCTTCGTTCTGTGCTCCAGTCTGTGCTCCTGACACAAGGCAATGGCGGCCTTGTTGTCGACGTAGAGCACTGGAGGAGAACGAGGCCGCTCTCCCAAGTTGGTCAGCAGGTAGGTAAGCCAACGTAGCTCCTGCGCAGCCATGGCTGTGGCGTAGATCTCAGCCTCACAACTGGAGCTGAGAACAAAAGACGAGCGAGTAGAACGCCAAGAAACAGAACCAGAGCCAAGGCTGAAGGTGTAACCCTGTAACGACCGCTGCGTAGCCTGGTCGTCAACCCAAGAAGCGTCTAAGTGCCCAGTGAGGACAACGTCGCTCCGTCCTCCAAGCACGAGCCCCATGCCCGATATACTGCACAAGTAGCGTAGTACCCTCTTCGCAGCATCCATGTGCACCTTTCGGTGCCGACCAGGAGCCACGTAGCGAGCCAGAAGGCCAAGAGGGTACGCAAGGTTAGGTCGAGTGCAGGTCATCAGGTACATGAGGCAGCCCACTAGCTCTGCGTAAGGACCACTCGGCTCTACGGATTCGTCCGAAGGTGGAGCTGAGAGCGAGTGACCTGTAGCAAGCGGAGTGGACTGTGCTGAGGACCAGGTGAAGCGGAAGCGCTGAAGGACCTGCTGCACCATATGTGACTGAGTCAGTGTGATGGTGCGGCGTGCTCTGTCCCGGGTGATCTGCAAGCCAAGGTAACTGCGCAGTTCACCCAGGTCTGTGCATGTGTGTCTCTCCTGCAGCTCCGACTTCACCAAAGTGAGAGCCTCAGTGTCAGCAGTGGCAAAGACCAAGTCGTCGACGTACACGAGGATATAGAACGGCGGCAGCGAAGTGTCGGTGCGTAGAAACAGCGACGGGTCAGCAGTGGAAGGAGCGAACCCAAGAGCCGCAAGTGTAGTCCTCAGTGTGTCGTGCCACTCACGAGGCGCTTGGCGGAGACCGTAGACTGGCCGCCGGAGGCTCCACTGGGTACCAGGAGGGAACGACCCAGTGAAGCCAGGTGGGCGGCGCAGCCAGATCTCCTCGTGCAGGCTGCCCTGTAAGAAAGCTGTGCTAAAGTCAAGAGAGTGAAGCTCGTAGTCACGTTGAGCGGCAACGTGCAGCAGCACCCGAAGAGTGATCATCTTCGGGGTGGGGGAGAAGGTCTGGAAGAAGTCAACTCCCTCCCGCTGACTGAAGCCTCGAGCAACGTAACGAGCCTTGAAGACAGGCGGAGAACCCGGCGGCCGCTTCACCCTGAAAATCCACATGCCATCGACGATGTTCGCCCCAGGAGGGGGAACCTCATCGACGTAAGTGCCTGTGGACTTCCAGGATGCCATCTCTGCGTCCATGGCTGCCTGCCACTGAGAGGAGTAGGGACCCGCGATCGCCTCAGCGTAAGATCGCGGTGTCGGGATGTCTGGTGCATCCGGGTCTCCCTCAGGGGCAAGCAGCATGGCCACGAGATGAGGCGCAGCGGCTGCAAGACACTCAAGGTCCTCGTGCCTGTCCTCAATGACGTCCGTGCTAAGAGCACACTCACCCCCGACGGACGGAGGACAGACAGACTCAGACTCAGCAACAAGACTAGCGGCGTAGTCTAGACGACAGGCAGCAGCAAAGTCAACAAGCTCAGCGACTAAGGCAGACGCAGCAGCAGACTAAAACGACGGGTCTGTGAAAACAGTGGCTAACAGACGCGTGACAGTAGGGTGCTCAGCACGAAACTGGTCCGACACCGGGTCCGCAACGTCAGGCAGAGAGGACGCAGGAGGAGACGGCAGAGGAACACGCTGCGGAGCAGAGGAAGGACGACGGACTACGAGGTGTGCGCCGGGGACAGCCGGCTGACGCGGACGGGGAACACGACCACCAGTACGACCAGTGCGGGGAGTGCGAACAGGCGAGACAGGACGCGACGCTGGCTCACGACGCTCAGCAAGACTGCCCGGCTGCTCAGTGTAAGGAGAAGGAGCAGGCAGTGGTGAGCCAGGCTGTAACGGAAGACCAGTAGAAGACGGGAGGGTAAGAACCTGACGCAGCACAGAGTCAGTCGGTGGCAGAGACAACGGAGACGGCGGAGCGAAGAACATTCGGGGCTGCACATTGCCACCAGCACCAGCAGCTCCAGTACCCCCAGCAGCTCCAGCACCTCCAGCAGCACCAGAACCGCCAGCTCCAGCCCCTCGAGCATCAGCACCACCAGCTCCAGCCCCTCGAGCGTCAGCACCACCAGCAGCTCCCGAACCTCCAGCGGCAGCACCTCCAACGCCAACAACACCAGCAGCTCCCGAACCTCCAGCGCCTGCACCTCTAGTGCCAACACCACCAGTAGCTCCCGAACCTCTGGCGCCAGCACCTCCAGGACCAGCACCACCAGCAGCAGCACCCCAAGAACCGGGAACCCCAGCCTCAGTGTCCCCAGCAGCAGCACCCCCAGACGTAGGACCCCCAGCCCCAGCAGCTCCAGTACCCCCAGTACGAGCACCTCCGGGATCAGGGACTCCAGCACCTCCTGAAGACAAAGGACCAGCACCACTCCCAGCTCCAGCGACGTCAGAAGAAGCACCTCAAGCAGCAGAGCCCCAATATAGCCTAGATAATAACATACATATGTGTTGACAAGAGAGGCAGATGCTTGGAGGCTTGCAAGCAGGACGAGGAGGAATTGACTTGTTTTCTTAAAAATTATGTATATGTCATTTTGTTTTGCTAAGCATCTCAACTTTGAAACATGTTGTTCTCCTGATTCTCTATTATCAAAGTCCCCGCATCTCACGTTCGCTCAAGTCGTTTCTTGGGCGTAGAGCATTACAGTCATGTTTTTTGCTGGGTGATATGCACGAACTGGCGGTTGCACAAGGGTAACGTTCACGTGAGTTTCACATAGCTGGAAGGACTCTAAGCTGCAAAACTCTGTTTAAAACCTGATGTCTATGAATCAATGTCTGGAATCCGGATCCGCAGCTGTTTGAGGATCAGTTCCCATTCGTGCCTTCAGATCGGGCAGTCAGGCTAAAATAGAAGTGTATTCGACTGGTTAGGCGCCACACAGTCATTCGTGAACGCGATCAGTTTTTGCTTGTATCCCGTCTGTGATTTCAGCGAAATGCTTGCATCCTTTTCTACCCAACTGGAAACGTGTGTAGCGTACCACACCGTCCAACATCCACTGCGAGTCAAGCGACTCATCCTAGTGGATTATAGTTGTAACACGTCTAACCGAACTTCTCGACGGTGATTCGCTGGGGATTGCGTTTCGCGATGGTGGCCGCACGAAGCATGAGAACTTCGATTCATTCATTCTCTCCACCACAATTCACCCTCCCACAAATACCCACGCTTTTCCATTCCCAACACCAGTCCCACATTTCAAAGCTCTTCGAGCACTCGCTTCCACTCCCTGCATCCTCTTCACTAGCTCTAGCTCGTAATCATGGCGCGTCAGGTTACTGCTCTCGCTCTCCTGCTTGCCTTCACCGTCACTCTCGCATCATTCGCTTCTACTGCTGCTGCTCGATCTATTCAGCTTCATGGCAATGACATCGATGGTAAGTCGCCTGCGATGATGACTGCCAATGACTTCCGTCGATGGTAAGGTGCATTCCAAGAAGCGAGAGACGTTGGCTCCATGTTATGGTAATTCGTAGACCATTGCGATTGTAAATTGCAGACCATTGACTCGTGTGATGGAAGTCGCAGACCCTTGCGATGGTGACGCGATGCATCATCTCGAGAGATTGAGCACATCCTTTATGCCTGGCTATAAGCGGAGTGAAACGACAAAGAAAGGCGCGTGCGTCGTACATGCACACGTTGCTGCTTCCTCACTTGAGCGGCCACCCAGCCGAAT